TCAGAACAGGTATTAATTTTAGTTACTTTTTATTTTTTATAATGTGAATAGTGCTACTCCATATAGAGAAAGAATAATTAGGTTTGTCTGTTTGTTTTGATGCTTTTGATTAATTTTTTAATGTTTCTAGTTCTGCATCATCAAGTCCAATAGACTTCCCTATTGATCAGTATTTTTTATTTAACAAATATTATTTTTTTTGAATTCATTGATAGCATTACTCCTACTAGAAACAACAGTATAATTAGGTAAAGTATTTTGTTTCTCAGAACTTTTATGTATTAAATTTTTAGTTCTGCATCACTGAGTCCAGTAACGCAGAGTCCAATAAACTTTATTGATTAGTAATTGATGTTTAAGTATCATGTTTCTTAATACGTAGTACCTTTGCATTATTAGTGGCACTCCAAGTGGTAGACCAATTGCTAAGTATTATTTTGTATTGTTTTACATTTTAAATTTTATTATAGTAGTACCATTACTGCACGAAGAATTGCTTCAAAACCAAGCTGTACAACTGACAGGTGAGTGTCTGTTTTAGTGTTATTTTTTATAATTATAGTGACAGGAGAAGTGGTAAAAATAAGTTGATACCAGAAAAACAGTAATTGCAATTTTTTATTAATAATTATTTACTATTAATTGTTAGAAAACAAAAATTCACAGATGATATAAAGTATGAAGCTAGCAACCATCTACTTTTTACTGTGTTTTCTGATGTCCTATAGCAGCTTTATTCCTGAGATATTTGAAGATTCATCAAGTTCAAGTTCTATTGATGATGGTGACTTAGAATTTGACATTTAATAATAAAAATGATTATAATACTAATATTAATAGTACGGTGTAAATTGTTTTCATTGGGACAAAATGGAGTAATACTGTGCAGAAACGGGTAATATACGGCTGGAAAACAAGAAAGACTGTTGCAGAACAGTCCCACGGTGGTATCATCATTATTCCGTAATCTGCCCACACGGACCTGCCGTTAACAGTCTGTATATGCCTAGTACTGTGCGATAAACGGATCCGTACTTAACAAGCGCTAATGCTGTGTTGCTGTGTTATAGTTTTTAAAATTAATGGTACTTTGGGAAAATTACCCATTGTCATGTGAGAACAATAATCATGTGTAAGCAAGCAATTTTTTTTCTGTTTTGGTGAAGTCAATGCACTAACAGTATCTCGTCTTGCTACACATGAAATACTTAAATGTCTATGAATATAATGCAAATGTAAATGTATTCACTTCACAAAAATTATTAGCAGTCAAGCAAACAAAGCGGCGTATTCTGAAACATGAATGTGATGATGAAATTCTTCACCACCAATTAAAACTAAAATTAACTTTTGCTACTTGAAATCAAGCAATATATACAGTTTTTGGGATTTTATGATTTAATTAGAATCAAATGATAATGACAATGTGGAAAATGAAGCGGAAGATGACATTGAAGATATTGTAACAATTAACTGATTGTCAAAGCATTCTAACTATAATTACAATTCTGTAGGATAAAAGTGATAGCTGTTTTAATGATGGAAGTTGTGAAACAACTACGGGACAAACTAAAGTGTTTTAATACATTAGTTTTCAATTTTAAATGTTGATTTTTGATAGTCATTGTCAGCTCAAGTCACTTAGTCTACTACACCAACAGTACTGGCATATTAACCAAATTGTTAGTAATCCCATTGATCTTGTCATTTTGAAGGACAAGATTCAGCAAATTTGATGTTTCAGTACTTACCAAAATAAATTGTGCTGCTATGCTCTATGGCAAATGGTGAAATTAAAAAACCTACCAATCACTAAAATTTAGCAATTTTCCAAAGCCCTCCAGAAATAATTACCTATTGCCTAATACTTTTTTAATTTATTGTTATACTTTATTATAGAACAATGGCTTTATTGTCCCATTCTTATCTACAAATACACCTATGTCTACATTAGTGGCATACCCAAATCTGTGTGCACACCTAAGTCAAGTTCTTCAAAGGATGAACAAGATATCAAAGTATGATTCGTCTATGTCATTTGTTAATGCAGAATTACAATTAGGACCATTTGGATACAATAGAGAGCAAGTTTGATAAATTATGGAAACATAATAACACTTTGGCTGTACGTTATAGATGTCTGTGGGAAGATTTTGAATGTTTCATATCAAGAAAAAGAAGGATCTTGCTGATGATGATACTAGCACAACATAGACAGTTGACAGCCAATTTTTATAAGTATGTGCTGTTCTGTGGTGATTTAAATATTAATCACTCCGTTTTTTGAATTTTTCAGGAATGTTAAGTCAATATACTGACTTTGCACGCAGAAAGTCCATCGAAATTCGCTTCGTCTTTAATGCACATTCTTTCAGTGAGTCCGAGCAAAGTCATTGTTATACACCTTCAAATAGAACACAAAAGCCCCTCTCGATCAGAAAAAGGTTTTATTTTTTTAAGGTATTGAAAGCTTTCTGCAACTGCTTGTAATAATGATATTTGTTTAATTAGAATGTATTAAGAAAAAGTTTGAACATAGTACTAAAGAATTTGAAGGGTCAGTTGTGAGGTGAAAGTGTGTGCAGAGATGTTTAGACAAGAACTGAATGTTGACTTTTAATAAGGAATTGGAGTGTAAAGTAGAAGAACGAGAGACAGTAACTATTTAAGTACTTTGATATGAAAATTAATTTTGTTGCTTTGTTACTGATATAAACAGTTTGAAGTGTATACTGATCTTGTCAAATTTTTGCCAGATCAGTCATGATCTTTACATACATCTATCACCATCTAAGTATCTTAACATAATAATTAACTGATTGCTTCAGGACTGTTATATGATTTAAGCAGGACTTTCATCTGATTTTGCAAGAACTATTGCCTAATCTTATCGGGAGTATTGTTTGATCTGGCCAGAACTATTACCTAATCTTGTCAAAACTTTTATCTTAACTTCAAAAATTATTAATAAGATTTTGGAATTTCTTGTCTAATTTTAAGATACAACTTAATTTTTTTTTTGCAGGGTCACCTGTCTGTACAGTGCCATTTGAGAGAAGGCTTTTTTATTGGTATACATTCTATTTTTTTGAAAATAGTCCTTTTGAAACTCACTATTATGTTAGTCTGGGCCCACCTTTTTGCCGTGACACGGAAGGGTCTGGTGAGACTGCTACAGAATTTGTTTCACTGTGAGCGTATCTTGCGCACCAATCAGCTTTTTCGAGCGACAAGGATGTGTCATCAGTCATTTGATATCACCTGACTATTGTAGTCACTCCTGATTAAATTTGAGATGGCTGACAATCTTGAGAGCGTTTGATATTGACTTCTGAAGAAGTGCCATTTATTGGAAAAGACTGGAGACATGTCTTCCAGAGTTCATCACTTGAAAAAAGGTTGGTTTGTATAATTGTTGATGAAGCTCACTATGTTGAGACATGGTATATTAATTTGATTACAAAGACATTGTTCACAACTTTTGTCATGTCATAGGGGAAGAGGCTTTAAAAAAGAATTTAATAAAACTAAGTGATCTTCGTTTCTGTCACTGTAAATTTCATTGCGCTAAAGGTAACTGCATCAATGAGTACATGTAAGGAAGTGATACATTTCTTAGGAATGAAGAAACCTGTCACCATTTTGAGGTCACCTGAAAAGCCAATTATATTTTATGCTGTATGTGAAAAGGAGGAGAAAGTTGCAATATAATAATAGACGAACTTTATGTGAAACGAGGACATATTGATAATATTAATTTCTGTCACACATACAAGGATTGCACAGACATATATTCATCAGTTAAGCGGGAATTAAAGAATGAGATTACTGAACGTATTGGATATGCAGATGTGTCTGCATTTCTGTCTTGTTGATATGTTTAATGCTTGCAACAGCAGTAGTACAAAATCTGCAATGTTAATATCTTTCTTGTCTCAATCTAGGCTACGAATCATATTGGCAATATCAGCTTTTGGAATGGGTATAGATTGGTCTAATGTAGTACGTGTCATTCACTGGGGCACACCATCAAACGTAGAAAGTTATATTCAAGAAACTGGTAGGGCCAGTCGTGATGGCCAAGCAGCACGTGCCATTTCATTCTCATCCAAAAGAGACTAGTTTTCTAAGTGCCATTCCCAATAGTAGGTCAGCTTCTGGATCTGCTCTAGAGTCAGATGAAACCCCTCACACCAGCTACTCTTCCAGATACTGACCTTATTGCAGGACCTGTCTGAGCACTTCCAAATCATGAGATCCCTTGAAAATGAAGTGTCCCTTGTAAGCCTCATCCTCCCATTACTGCACTTAGGACAGTCATGGTCAGTAAAGTCTCCTAACATACCCCTTCCCTTCTCACCCATTTGCGTACCTCTTCCTTGGTCTTGCTGCATATAGCATACATGTCTTCTAGTATCATTTTAGTATCATTCCAGTTGTCAGAATGGAATTGTCACCATTTTGCCTGTAGATCACATTAGGTAAGATGTGCATGTGATGTTTTGCTTGGGACCAGTAAAGTGTAATCTACCCTGCCATTGGATATTCGGAAAGTGAAGGCAGTGATGGTGAAAATAAATGTGATGGGCTCTTGTTAACAACCCTGGAGCAGCTGCACTTCCCATCACAGTGGAAGCTTTCACAGCACCTGGAGCAGCAGGAAGAGGAGTATGATGATGAAGAACCTCTCATCACTCCTGCAACTAGCAACACTAAAGTTGTGGAGCCAGAGGATCTAGAGATGGATGAGAGCTGTGGATTTGAGAGAAAGGGTGGAAATTGAGGCATTACGCTCTAGTGGGTATTGTGCAAGGAAGTGCCACACACAGTTTGAGAAGGATTATATGATGAGAATGCGCTGGAATTTGCAAGAACCGATGAAGGACCAAATGGAGATGACTATTCTTGGACGCCTGATGTCATCAACATCTTGTGAAACAGTTGAGAGTAATAGGACTGACTATGAATACAGGGGAAAGAAAGAATTAGACACAATATGTATAACAATTACTGATGTCTTATGTTTTAAGAATAGATATGTAAGATCTTCTTGTTCATCTACAGTATCAGAAATGGTCCTTACAAGAACTTGAGGAGGCATTTTCTTCAAAATTGAATGAAACCTAGGTAAAGTAATAAAAATAATTCTTAATGTAGGAAGACTGGTCGCATTTCATGTTATGCTGTCCCTGTTGAAGGCATTAAAGATGAGGTAGCACTTTTGAAGTACTATGCTGAAGACTACACCATTTTACTACCTGGAGAATACCTAGAGTGAGTGATTACAGAAAGGCAAAGTTATTGCTGTCCAGTGTGTCCCAACAAATGGCTTACAGGCAGTATGCTGATGCTTGAAGGGAACATGCTCTCAGTGCAAGTTCCATTAAAAGATTATGGAGAACGTAGGTTCCCACATTTGCAGCATCAAACCAATGATTGACTTATGCTTGAAGCACAACACTGCAATGTTATGGAATGCTGGGTGTGAGATTGAGCGTCAGTATGAGGTACATTTAACATTATGAAAAATGTATTTAATTATTTTTGCCTTAAAAATATTGTCACTTTGTCAGTAACTTTGTCTTTTGATAACTTTTTATTTTT